TTGTTTTTTACACTGAAGTCTGAGATTCAAAAACAATATTTCTAATTATTAACGTGCATTAGAAATATAATAACCAAAAACATAACTGAAAATTTTCATAAGATTCCTTTACCTTAGTTTACCTTAATTTTTACATTTGTCAATTTTCAATTGAACTATTAACTGGGGGAAATGTTTCAAAACAACTGATAATGATTAACGCTGCTTTTGTTTGGGACTATTAACAGTATGATAAAATCATTTCCTCATTCACACAATTGTGGGACTGTTTTTCCTTTGCAGATCACAAACTCCATGATAAGAACGATTTAAACTTTTCTTAAGTTCACCTGGGCTGCCACAGCAACAAAACCAGCATCCATACTGCGTCATCATTAATAAAAAGAAAAGAACAAAGCACAGTCCCGGTCACACCAGGCTGTTGGCTGCCTTAGAATAACCCAGAGTGTCATTCTTTCAACTTTCAGTCGTCCCACAACAGAAGTCACTTCGACAGCACAAACACCTGCAACATTTAACACCAAGTCAAATATAAGCAACACAATAACCATAATAATCAGCTCAAAGAACCACTTTTCAGCTGTTTTAGTCCACAAAGCACAGTGATGAGTCTGCATTCTGACATAACACACAGCCTTCATTGTGACTGAACTTTAACCATCGCACTGGGCCTCCAACAAAACCACCTTTATTACCATCACTGCATTTGCTAGTAAGAATCGATGTGGAGAAAAGGATTAAAAGTACTGACTTCCTAAGTTTAGCCGCGGTACCATTGCTAGGTTTTCTTTTTCATGATCTGTACGAGAAAGAATTCTAACAAATCTAGATAGTTACACAATAAAAAAATAAAAAACACACCTGGTTTCATGTTACCCACAATTCAGTGCATTTACTTGAGCCATGGGTAAAAGATCTGTAAATTGAAATGTATTTTTTTTAAAAGATCTAATCAATGCAATGTTTTGCTCCACAGTTCCTAAAGTTTATTTTTAATTGTTTAAAGTCCACCCACAGGTATTAAAAGGCAAATTGCCTTAAAACATCATTAGAAGTAAACACAGATCGTACCCTAAAGAAAAATGTCTATGTGAGGCAATCAAAACAAAATCAAACCACATATTTGATGATTAAATTCTGCATCTTATTCTACATCAACTCATGCAGGTTGTATTCCATACTTTGAAGTTCTTTAAATCTTCTAACATTGTACAGAAATACACTTGATGGTTGATTTGTTCAGGTAGCAATTATTTGGATATGATATTCTGGATTTCATCCAATTAGAGGTATAAGGTGGCAGGTTTGATGTAGAGTCAGTAGGGCACATTACAGTTTGGGATGGCATCTTTAGTAGCTTAAAACCACCTTCATATTTAAAATTCTTTATCCTATTCCACCATGTATTCAATCAAGAAAGTTTATTTAAGGAAAAGCTAATTCTGTGACACTAATAAACCAGTGTGACAATATGATGGGACATAGAAAGTGAGGAAAATGCATCACAACCAAAACTATAGTAAACATCTACAAGCCAAACCAGGCTCCCAATATATTCAAATTCACATTCTCATTGTTGTCCTGGTGAAGAAAACTAATGGATCCTTATGGATTCGGTTCAGGCAGGTTTCAATTGTAATATTTAAGTTTATACAATTTACTAGAAAAATCAATAGAAGAGATCTTCTGTTCAACGCTTCATTGCACCAACTATCTCCCTTTTATTTTGACCATCCTCAAGTTTGTTGTCCTTTGCATTTAAAACAATATTGAGCCAAGAGATAACTAAATAGGCTGTTTGACAGAATATTCTGCTTTATAATCAGTTCAGTCATAACATACATTTAAACCAACGGCACCTCCAGCTGACACACTTTATAATCTTTGTCCTCTGGTGGCCTTGAGCAGTGATTCCCAACCGGCAGTATGTGTACCACTAGAGGTCCGCGAGTGCGTTGCAAGGACTACATGAAATATATTTTTATTTCTTAGGTAGTAAAATAAAATAGGGCTGGGGTCTGTTTTATGCGAAGACCCAATTGAAAAATTAAACAAGCTTTTATCAACAACAAAGTAAGTTTTTCTTATATTTTTGAGTTCACCACAACAAGGTAGAGGAACAGGCTGGAAGAAGACAACAGCCTCGTATCAGCGTTATTTCACAGTAAGCTACTGAGCTCATCAAAGCAGCTCAGGTGTCTTGATGAAAATAAAGTAAAACCAATTAAGTCAATCTGACTAAAATTTTTGTTTAGTATTTTGTTCCCAATTCATCAAATTTAAATCTGATTATAATGGAGTTTGTCAGAGGAACTCCCGTTTTATAAATACAGGTTGATAATATGATTTTGTCATATTTATTTCGATTCCTTACTTCCACACAACATACTTTTTTATTTTTACTTGAGACGGAATGATTAGAATGCCTAAGACTTAAATACTTAAAAGATTAATTAAAAGAGTTTTTATTCTATAATCAGTTATTGTACATTCCACTTTTGGACAATAGATACTTCTGACTGAGAGGGATACCCATGGTAAGATTAAATGTCGGAAGGGGTACACAAACGCAAAAAAGATCGGAAACACTAGCCTAGAGCCCCCCAATAGCACTTTTAACTTGAACAGATAATGTTAATGAAGGCACAAGTTATAAACATGTAAGAACAAAGTCTGAAAGAGTCGTTAACGGAGACATGGTTCAAAATAAACTTTTCCTGTGCAGCTTAAAGGAATAGTACACCCAAAACATGATTAGCCTTCATTTTCTACTCACCTCCATGCTGAACAAAACTCTGGAGTACTTTTTTGATATCTCAAATGCATCTGGAGATCTGGGAGGCTTCTTGCTGTCTGCTGACATTCAAATAATGGAGGTCTATGGTGACCGAGACAGAAAGGTCCATAAAAGTCCACAAAAACGTGTCAATATTCCTCCATACTGCTCGTCCAATGTAATCCAAGTGTCCTGAGTGGGTAGCATCCAGAATTTACTCGAAACGAAGTCATTTAGAACGTTTTAGAGCCTAAACAGTAGTGTATAGGATTTCCTAATAGCGCCCCCATGCGCGCTCACGATTCTACCGAAGCCGGCAGACCAAACCGGAAGAAAGTGCGCATTCAGCGTCTGCTCTGCCGATAATGCAAGCGTAGAAGAAGAAATGTGCTGTTTACCTGTGCAAAGAAAGAAACAACGAAAGAAAAATGTCTGAGGACTTCAGTGTTGAGGAAGAGCATGAGTTCTTTGCCGAGCTGAATGCGCTGGTTTGGTCTGCCGGCTTCCGTAGAATCGTGAGCGCGCATGGGGGCGCTATTAGGAAATCCTATACACTACTGTTTATGCTCTAAAACGTTCTAAATGACTTTGTTTCGAGTAAATTCTGGATGCTACCCACTCAGGACACTTGGATTACATTGGACGAGCAGTATGGAGGAATATTGACACGTTTTTGTGGACTTTTATGGACCTTTCTGTCTCGGGCGCCATAGACCTCCATTATTTGAATGTCAGCAGACAGCAAGAAGCCTCCCAGATCTCCAGATGCATTTGAGATATCAAAAAAGTACTCCAGAGTTTTGTTCAGCATGGGGGTGAGTAGAAAATGAAGGCTAATCATGTTTTGGGTGTACTATTCCTTTAAGGTTGTTGATACCTACAGCTCTGTAGATGTTATCAATATCTATAAAAAAGCAAGACGTTTTAAACAAAAACTTAAACAGTGACCATGCATAGAAAATAAAGTGCAGCTACATGGGCTGTTGGGACCAAATGAATCATCTTTGATTGCACAAACAACCTTAGGGAAAGCCCAACTGCTAAGGTTAAATGGTCATTTGTATAACGCATAAATATGATTGTATGTATATTGAATGTGATTTTAAAGAAAAGATAGATAGTGACACCGCTTTACTTCTTCCTGAAATGAAATCCTGTTACTAAGCACAAAAGTAGTGATTCAAAGTTTCCAGTCCAATCGGGACAATATTACACCTGATATGACCAATTTCAATGGGGTGGTTCCAACCCCAAAAGACAAGCAAACTTTTTTTTTAAAGCTATACAAGGATAATTTGGGCGTTTTCGTCTATGGAAATAAATTGTGTTAAAATGGGGCTTATTCTTAAATAAGTTGAAAGTCAGGTATAGTCGCATAGGAAAAAACAACTTGGATAAACAGTAATCAGTAGACCATCTGGATATTCTAACCTTTTACTTTCCAAATAGAATGCCATTTTTACTGCTTCAGGAATCTCTGATCATTTCTAATTAAGCTTTGAAATAAATTGAATTTTTTTTGTCTAATTCAAAAGGAAAAACTTGCTAAAAGATATGATTTGCCAAAAGTATGCAAACTAGGCAGAGACAGATAGATTTCAGAAGTATGTGTACAACTTAAACAAATTTTACATTTAAATTGTTGTATTTGCAAACCCAATATTCATATCACAAAGTTATTTTTCTGACAAAACCTGGTATAAATAACGGTACATATACTGTTGCCTAAAACAGGTATAATATCCCTGCTGAAATCACTGAGTCGCATGCTAACTCCAGCTTCAGAGCTTTAGCATTTCATGTTTTACCATTCAGCAAACCTTTAAATGACTTAAATCTGATTTTTTACATTTTTAAGAGCGTAGAAACATTTAAGTCAGTTCTTTAAAGATGCAACGCTTGAGCTATAGGGTTAAATACTATAGACAAACCCAGATAGCATGACAAGCTAATTTGTTAACTAAGGTGATGAAATAAGAGAGAAACACGTATTAGGCGTTGATAGAGCCTGCTACAGCGTCAAGACTATTCAAATGCCCATCATAAGTATGTCAACAAGGCCTGTGGTCCCTGTGAAAACAATTTAATCTCCCTTTCATGAGCAGCATTTGCTAGCATGTAGCCTCCAGTGAGGTTTTGAGGCCTTCTCCTAGCTTCGCCATAACTCTAACTGAGGAGCAGCTCTCAACTTCTAACCATAAGCAGACTGTCCAGAAATACTTACAGTCCAAATGTTTCTTCTTTGGGCCCATTATTTCGTGCGTGGTGGCCTTGCATACTGTTTTGGACACCGCGGATCCCGTTACACTGTGCTGGGCTGCCGTTATCCTGTCCGTAATGCTCTGTCCCGACATCTTCGCTTTATTCAACGAAACAAAAGACTCCCCAAAAAATCTCAAGCCCGAATGGCTTTGTCTTCTGATCTTAGATTTTCTTTTTTGTCCCCCACAACTGATTAAAAAAATGAAATGGAATCTCCACCTCCTCCTTTGCCTTTTTCCCCACCTCGCTCGGAGGAAAGAAAAATCAAAACTAGGCTATGGCAGCAGCGGACCAGGGGAGGGCGGAATATAAAGGGAAGCGGAACCTGACAGCAATAAATATAGAAAACATATATCGGTTAGGCCTATTTCTGTTAAATCAGTTCAAATTCATTTAGAATTTAATAAAGCAGAGAAACTGAGGTTAATTCGTTGGCACTGCCTTGCTCTCATCCCGAAGAAGCACACCGGTTCCCTGCCTCCGCCGCTCCGCAAGTCGTCGCCGTCGCCGCTCCTCCTCTCCTCCTTCTTCCTTCTATATTGTCCCTGCTGCCCAGCTATCAAGGCTCTATGAAAGACACACAAAAAAAGACCTCTAAGGACGGGAAATGGCGGTCCTGTTCGGCTTTGCTCTCATGCACACCACCCAGCAAGGATCTGCACGAATCGATTCTGTTTATCACTTCCAGTTAAATGTGTGTGTGTTCTCTACGGAAGAGGATTAGGGCCACGGAAGAAAAAATAAAAACAGTTAACTGATTTTTAAATATTATTTCAGTTTAATATGGCAAACAAGTCAGAATTCTGACTTTTTTTCTCAGAATTCTGAATTTTTTCTCAGAATTCTGACCTTAATCTCAGAGTTCTGACTTTAATCTCGGAATTCTGACTTTAATCTCGGAATTCTGACTTTTTTCTCAGAATTCTGACTTTTTTCTCAGCATTCTGACTTTAATCTCGGAATTCTGGCGTGTTTCTCGGAATTCTGACTTTAATCTCAGAATTCTGACTTTTTTCTCAGAATTCTGACTTAAATCTCAGAATTCTGGCTTTAATCTCAGAATTCTGACTTTTTTTCTCAAAATTCTGACTTAAATCTCAGAATTCTGGCTTTAATCTCAGAATTCTGACTTTTTTTCTCAAAATTCTGACTTCAATCTCAGAATTCTGACTTATCTCGGAATTCTGAATTTTTTCTCAGAATTCTGACTTTAATCTCGGAATTCTGACTTTCTTTCTCAGAACTCTGACTTTAATCTCAGAATTCTGACTTTAATCTCAGAATTCTGACTTTTTTTCCCTCAGAATTCTGACTTTTTTTCCCTCAAAATTCTGACTTTGATCTCAGAATTCTGATTTATCTCAGAATTCTGAATTTTTTCTCAGAATTCTGACTAATCTCAGAATATTGACTTTAATCTGGGAATTCTGACTTTAATCTCAGAATACTGACTTTAATCTCAGAATTCTGACGTGTTTCTCGGAATTCTGACTTTGATCTCAGAATTCTGACTTTTTTCCTCAGAATTCTGACTTATCTCAGAATTCTGAATTTTTTCTCAGAATTCTGACTAATCTCAGAATTCTGACCTTAATCTCAGAGTTCTGACTTTGATCTCGGAATTCTGACTTCAATCTCGGAATTCTGACTTTTTTCTCAGCTTTCTGACTTTAATTTTGGAAATCTGACGGGTTTCTCGGAATTCTGACTTTAATCTCGGTATTCTGACGTGTTTCTCGGAATTCTGACTTTAATCTCAGAATTCTGACTTTTTTCCTCAGAATTCTGACTTTAATCTCGGAATTCTGACATTTTTCTCAGAATTCTGACTTTAATCTGAGAATTCTGACTTATCTCAGAATTCTGAATTTTTTCTCAGAATTCTGACTAATCTCAGAATACTGACTTTAATCTTGGAATTCTGACTTTAATCTCAGAATACTGACTTTAATCTCAGAATTCTGACTTTTTTCTCAGCAATCTGACTTTAATCTCGGAATTCTGATGTGTTTCTCTGAATTTTGACTTTAATTTCAGAATTCTGACTTTTTCCTCAGAATTCTGGCTTTTTTTCCCTCAGAATTCTGACTTCAATCTCAGAATTCTGACTTTTGGCTAAAGTAAAAGAGCAGAAAGGGAGGGGTTAAGCAGAAATAATTGCTGGGGACTGTCCTTGTCAGGCCAAAGTTGGTTACGCCTGCGCTTGAGTAACTAATTGGTATTGGAGCATTGGAGGATTCATCCTGAACTATCTTAACTATCCAGTGGAGTACACCAGAATCCTCTTTGTTGTCTTCACCTTGGCTTAACTCGCCAAATTATCTACCAGCTTTCCCAGCGTTCAGAGCTGTTATCCAGCAGTGAATCTCCAGCTTCCTACTGACCTGCAGCAGCAGGTGAGAATGGAGAGGATCTGCTCCTTCACAGGAACTATAAGCACAAGCACCTCTCCTGAAACTTTTGAAGTCTGCAGATACCACCCCTGTCATTGGTTTGATCCATGAGTCAGGGTAGAGAAAGGAGGTGGATCAGGTGGTCAGTTAGTGTGGTTCAGGACCACCTGGGGCTTAACCTGGCTATGATGATGGATTACTGGAGTGCACCTCCTATATTCTCTGTGCTAATTCTCCGTGGTTATGAAACATGTTTTCTCAGGAACTAAGAAGGCCGTCACAAATAAACATTGTTTTGAAGAAGACCGCAGGAGGCCATGTTTCCTGCCGCAACTCCTAAAATACAACCTTCCACAGGACCTAATGCTCAGCTTTTAACAGCTATTATTCAGTTTGTCCTTTTGCACATACATCGATGTGTGGTTTGACTCAGTCACAAGACAGGACAGTTCAAGACTGAAGAACAAACTTCTCATCAGATAGGGACATCAAGACTGTCCCTCCATTCTGGACTTGTTCAGGTGTCGGGCCAGGAGAAGGGTAGCTACACCTTTGAAGACCCTCTCACTTTATGGACAGAAGGTTAACAGCAGGTTTTCTTAAAGGAAGGTACATTGTGACTCTTTGTGCAAAAAACAACTGCCACAGATTAAACAGTGAACACTGTACAGTATGAAATAAATAATACAAAAAAGGTCAATATTTTACCTCTTAATATATACTAAATGACATTTGCAACATTACCAACATGGCTGATTTTTATCATCCCTTTAAATAGAACACAGCTCAATGTCTATTGCCTTTTGCACCATATTTTTTTTGCACTGCACCCAACCTTTCCCTATTAATGCCTTTTGCACCATTACTTTTAAACTGGTTTCCTTTTCTCCTACACTGGTTACATTCTCAATGACTATGTCACTTTACCAGTGGTAATGTTCATTTCACTGTGTAAACTGCTCATTCACTGTTGTAAGCTGTGTGCAATGAAATCTCGCTTTGCATACACATTGTGCATACAACATGACAATAAGGTTTGTCTAATTTTAAGAAGAGCCTCTTGCAGCTCTGTAGCTGAAGGTTGCAAAATCAGCAGGTAAAGACTCTAATCCCATCTCAACATCTTAATTTTAAAATCGATGTTCAAGTAAATTTGAAAGTCAAAGGGGACAGTTAGGCACAGTTTCTGTGCTTCTACATATCATCATTAGAAAACTATTTGGTTTTATCCCTCTAGTAGAGGGACCATAGGGGCCCAGGACCAGTCCATTTGAAACATGTTTTTTTTTCTCCTACACTGTTTACATTTGATCATTTCTGCACTTTAAGAAAATGAAATGTCATGTAAGCTGTACAAAATGAAATTTCGTTTTGTATACACAGAGTGTATACAAAACGAAGTTTTAGTCAAAGGGGGTAAAGCAGGCAAACGTATTCAAGTAATAACACGGATACTTCAAAATAATATTACTTAGGTAAAAGTTAAAAGTTTTGAGCAGTAAAATTACTCCTAAAAATACCTTTTTTTTTTTCAAAATTGACTCCAGTAAATGTGAGTAGAAGTAACCACTTCTCCCCTCAGTCAAATTCTTTATATATGAACACCATATTTGATATGTTTCTCATTCTGATTTAGTCCATCATCCCAAAATGGACAAAAGTAGGACAAGAGTGAACCTACAGTCAACAGGTCCACTCTAAAGGAGCTATGTAGATCCTTCACTTACACTGAAAAAGAACTGCTATCAGTAATAGTGTTAGTCACTCATTATGTGCAATTCTTTTCAGTAATTTTATTTTTTCTGAAATAGAATAACGTGCAATAATAAATATTTTGAACAACACAAATTATGTTTTTTTTTTCCCTTGCCAGACAGCACAGGCTTAAAAGTATCAAGATTTAAAACAAAACATAAAAGGAAAGAGAACATAAAAATATAAGATATTCAGAAATAGAATGTACAGCATTATTAATTCTGTACTATATAAGAACTTTATATACTCAACATCACAATTTTCATAAGTAAGCATAATGGAATATGGGAGTGTTGAATTTCAATGTGACACTTTTAAAGCTTTCGTGTTCTTCAAGCAAAGAAGTATAAAAGGAACATCTAGTGGAAAACCCAGTTTATTGAGGTTGCAGGTGGCATCTCACAGGGTGGTGTTGGATGGGTAGGGGTGCAACATCAGTGCCAGGGAAGCAAGCAGGATCAATACACTCATTCAGAGGGTTGGTTCCATTCATGGTTAGAAGCCAGAGACCTTTGAATCAGTGAACAAACGGCTCTCCTTCATCGACATCCCATCCCAGGCTCATCAAGACTCTCACCACAGAAAATAAAGGACTCTTTAAGAAATCAATCCAGCCTTTAAACATCACATCTTCAGCCTGTTGCTTCAGTGTGACAGCAGAGATTTCCTACATATTTAAGCCGTTTTTACACACAGGTGAACTGTACGTATTTACACATAGCAAATAGAGTTTACATGCTAGTGTAAATGATTGTTGCAAGCCAACGGCACAGTCCACACCAGCAGTCGACTGTCACTAGCTTCTCATCCAGGAGGAGTGAGTCCTGCAAGTCTAATCTTCAATCCAAGAAAACCTTATTATCTAATCGGACAACATACTAAGTTTGACTGCATTGTTTGATAAGTAGAATGAATTTAGAATGTATGCAATTGACTCTGTCTCTTTGATTGCATAAATTGACTGCTTTCTGTTTGTTTTGTTTTTTGTGAAGTGCATTAGGGCAAAATATGTTAAGAATTGGCTCTACATACAGTACATATCCTAAATAGATAGGTCTTCTCTGCTGTCACTGAGTTACTGCAGTTAAAAAAACAAAAAAACAAAGGGCTTTTGTTACTGAACTCTTGACAAAATAATATTTTGAGTAAGAGTGGGGGCTAAGTTTTACGACAAGCAATGCAGAGATTGGAGCTTGAGTAAAATGTCCTGTTTTATCTGCCTTATTGGCTTGGACATGCATAATGCATGTAAACTGAATGACAACAAACAGCTAGGTACTCATAGAGTGTCTGAATAATTCCATGAAGAGATTTGACGTGCAAAAGAGTAATTCACAACAGCTTCGCACTAAAAATGTAATAACACCAGAAATATTTTGCATAGCTTTTCTGTAAATACCTTATCTCATGTTTTCTTGCAACTTAACTTTTAAGGGGTTTTAGGACATGAGCTGTTTTGAGCACCAACTAGATGAAAGCTGTGTCTGTAAGGAGGGAATGGAGATTTCTTTTCCTCTCTACT